AGAAAAATCATCAAGAAACGCTCGACTTTCTAATGATCTGTTCTTTACGTCTATATTTTGCTTACTTCAAACAGTAGGATCATTAAAGAAAAGATAATATGTTTTCGTCTTAATAAAATCGCAAATCGCTCGATTGCTTTTAAGTACCGCTCAGAACTTTAAGAGGAAATAACCCACTGCTTATAATTTTTATATTACACTGAAAAAGATCGCACGTAAGTATTTTTTTTATTTTAAAATCATTTATTAATCAAATAAAATTATTACATTGTTATTTAGAAAGGATAACGCACGTTCATACCTGTATAAATCCAGAGAAACAGAAAAATCATCAAGAATCGCTCGACTTCCTAATGATCTATATTTATGCAAGAATAGCGAACGTCTATTTTGCGTAATTCTAACAGTGGGATCATAAAAGACAAAGTTAATATGAGTATTTCGTTTTAATGAAATAGCTCGATTACCTCTTACAAAATACCGTCCGGTATTTTAAAAGACATTTTTGTAACGCACGTTCTTCCCTGTATAAATCCAGAAAAATCATCAAGAATCGCTCGACTTCCTAATGATCTATATTTATGCAAGAAAAGCAAACGTCTATTCTGTTAATTCAAACAGTAGGGTCATAAAGACAAGGTTAAATGAGTATTTCGTCTCAATGAAATCGCCCGATTTTCTCTTATAAAATACTGCCCGGTATTTTAAAAGATATTATTTGTAGGTATATAGAATTACTGAAAAAGTATTCAGAAGGGTGTAACGGGTTAAAATTTCTATTTTCAATTTATTTTAATAATTTAATTTAAATATCTGTTTCGATATTTGAGGGTATCTATTTCGATATTCTTATTATATTCTTCTATTATTAATAGGTGTCGATAGTTGTTCCGTTTCAGTAGAAAATAAATAGTAGCTATCTCCTATGTTTTTCCAATTAAAAAAAAAAAGGTTCTGTCGAAATAAATTAATTTGGTATTAGCAAGATACTTACTGTTGACAGTGAACATTGTGATATATTTTTTTGTGATTTATTTGTAAATCTTACACCCTCGGTGGATAAAACTCATAAGTGTTCTCGTAATGAATTTTGTATGCATTTTGGCATGTTAGGTGCATTATTGTGGTGTTTTAAGATTGAAATCTTCTGTGGAAGGATTAAATTGTCAACGCCCTCAATTAGAGGTAAAGTACATGCTTAAATTATTTTGTAAATAAAATTTATTATTACGGGGTAATTTTTTTATATTGTAGGGTCCAAGTACGAGTATACGATCTAAGTACTTATACAATATAAGTAATGACCCAATCAGGCATAGGGTCCCGTTAAAAGCAGTGGCGGTTTGCCCGTAAGGGCACTTGGGCACGTTGTGACAGGCTTCTGATTCACCTACAGTGAATCAGGGAGTCTGCGTGGCGCTAAGATGGTGATTCCCGAATAGGGGTTTCTCAGGCACCAGAATATACTCAAGGTAAGCTCAGTGGAGTTAAAAATAATTCCAGGCGGTCACTGCTAACTAGGTAGCCACTAAACTAGAATAAATAAAAATAAAACACTTTACACCTCGTACCCTAGGATACCCTGAAAGAGAACGGTTAAGAACCAGCAATAAGAGAAACGCAGGAATAGATAATAAAATATATATTTACAGAAAAAAATACAACGGTGGTAGTGCACGGTTTTGGCACGGCTGTAAACGGAAAATTAAATAAAATGAATGGTTACAATTGAATGAGATTACAAGAAAGTAATTACGGCTCCCTATATACAGAAAAAAAAATAATTAAAAATAAATTATTACAATTTAAGCTAGTTAAATAATAATGGCTCCGGAATTCGGAAGATTTATTAAAAATAAATTATTACAATTGAAAACTAGTTAAATATTAATAGTTCACTGTATTCGGAAAATTTATTAAAAATAAATTATTACAATTGAAAACTAATTAAATATTAATGGCTCCCTGTATTCGGAATATTTATTAAAAATAAATTTTTACAATTGAAAACTAATTAAATATTAATGAATCCCTGTATTCGGAAAATTTATTAAAAATACATTATTACAATTGTAAACTAATTAAATATTAATGGATCCCTGTATTCGGAAAAGATATTAAAAATAAATTATTACAATTGAAAACTAATTAAATATTAATGGATCCCTGTATCCGGAAAGTTTATTAAAAATAAATTATTACAATTGAAAACTAATTAAATATTGGGAAATAATTACGGTTCGCTAGCACAGGAGGCTAAGCGGTCCGGGAATTATGAAACGCCCTGTATATGGAAAATTAATTTAAAAAAAATAAATTATTTAAATATGACGGTAATAAAATGTAGGAAAATAAATGAAATTAAAGTTCGTATTACCTTTTAGTAGTACTTGAAAATATTTAAATCGGAAATTATGTACAACACGGTATATATGGAAGGTGTATTTTCCCAAATACACAAAATTAAATTAAACATTCTGGTCAAAATAATGAAACGAAAAAAAAAAAACGGTAATTAATTAAAACGGAGTAATTAATTTTTAATTAAAAGGTTGACCAACTGAAAAGTTCATAAAAATAAAAGAAAACGAGTAGTTACGACACTCCCTTTAAAATAAAAATGAAGTTTACTATGACCACAGTTAACCCACCAGAATGTAAGTTCAGAAAAGGAAAACCTACTATAAAATGGAACAAAATTTTCGGAACTGTGTGTAGTTTATTTCCAAACGTAAACAGCTTAAAATTCAAAAACGAACTGTCCATACTTTACACCCGAGATGACTTTGTGCAACACAATGGGGCCGTACCATTATTACAAATGTTTTTTGAGAACAATTTGACAATTACATTTTCGGAATCTGTGGAGCTGCTAACTATCCTGTGTACAATTCCCATGGACCACAGTGGAGAGTGAAAGATGTTTTTCGACAGTAAAACGTATTAAAACATTTTTAAGGAACACTATGTGCCAAGATAGATTGTGCGCGTTAGCCATGTTATCCATCGAAAAAAAACTTATTCGGTCCATTCCAAGTTTTAATAATCTGGTCGCTAGCCAAAAATTCAGAAGAATGGACTTCAACTATAAGAAATAGTATACAACTGCAGCGGTACCTAGCAGATAGTCTTCAATTTTGTAATATTTAATTTGTTTTGAAATATATTTAATTTTCATTAAGCGGAGAACTTGTTTTCCTAAGGGAAAAACGAATCCCGGGATTCCTTTCCAGTGTGTGCCCCACTGCCGCTAGTGTCCACGAGCCGCCACTGGTTAAAAGATCCAGGAATTGGCAGTTTCACGTCATCTTCACCGGTTCACTAGATTACGTCATTATTAGAATTTTTCGGCCAGTTACACTATTTGAATTGGAGTTCATCATCGTCGTTATATCCTCACAGGACTTCTGGAATTTCTGCTTTTCTAGTATACAGCTTGTCCTATTGTATGACCACGTCCAGACGAATACAAACAGGAAAATACAGATAAGAAATATTTTAATAGTATATCGTTTATTTTAAAAACACATTTATTTAGCGCAACGTTTTGGTTTTGAATTTACATGAACATTTATTTACGACTTATATAACTTTATTATTTTTCCTTCTATCTAAAATTTGGCTAGTTTACATCTGTGAACTCAACGTGTACACGCTGGGGACTTAAAACACACATTTTGGACATAAAATAATATAATCAGATACTAAATATTAGTTATTTTTTAATATTATTTTATTAATATTTTTGTGGCATCTCTGGACTGGAAATTTCAGGTGTTAATTTATAATAAAATATTCTGGAGATTTGTTGTGGATAACGGTGTTTTATTTTGTTTTTCTCTTTTTATTGCTAATTAGGTATTAAGCTTCACTTTACAGTAAGTACAGTGTAATTAGGGCTTTAGATTTGTTTTGCGGTATTTCGGATGCGGAACCTTACTAGATCAAGGGGCTTCCCAGTTCGAGTCGTGGTCGAGCTGGTGGCGCCTTATAAATATTTTCAGGACTCACTCCAAGCCGGGTATCCCTTTTTTTGATCGTGCACTCACTTCCGTAGCCCGTTTTAGCACGTAGAAAGGGATAACGGGATATTTAAGTAAGCATAACAAATGTTTATTCTATTAATTCAAACAGTACGATCATAAAAGACAAGATTAAACAAATATTTCGTCTCAATGAAATCGCTCGATTTCCTATATTCCCAGTATTTTAAAAGATATTTTTATATAGAATTACTGAAAAAATCACACGATTTTTTCAAATGTAAAAAATATGACGACGACAGCGATGTTGTATAATACGACATCCAAACAAACTTAAGACTTTATTTATGTGATATTTCGAGGGAACACATTAAGATAACTTCTTGATGTTAACGAATATATGCTTAGGATGGGAAATATTGATTAGTAAGCGAACCAAAACCGAATTATTGAATACGATCTTTACTTTTTCAGTATAATTACATTGTTTTATAAAATAGTTTATTTTCGATTTTCTTACGGTAAGTATTCAGAAGGGATAACGTACGTTTTCGCCTGTATATACAATATTTAATGTTAATGATGAAGTATAAAAACAGCCTACCTGTTGATTATTCATTAGAGCTGCTCTGTAATTGGCTAAAATTTTTGTTTAGTGAGTTGGAAATCGATATAGACTTCTCAAAGTATCTGTAATCGAGAAATTATTGGGTAATCAACATATACGCCATTATTTTATCGTCATGATGGGATATATAAACATGTGGAATATTTTTAATTGGAATTGGCTTTTTAGATTGTTGGTTGGGTTTAAAGATTGGTTAGTAAAGAAAGGAATAGTAGCAAAGGAAAGACGTATAACTGAAACAAAAGTGTGGCTGAAGTAGGAGCGAAAGCAAGAAGGAATCGCCTATACTTATGTAAAAATAGGAATCAAATAAATAAAAAAAAAAACAAAAACACGAAATTACTATACAAAAACTATTTATTTCAAAGTATTTGATCAAAAATTAACTAGTCAATAATTAACAAAAAATAATAACAAAAAGATACAAGTTTTCAGTTCTTTCTGAAACTCCTCAAAATTGGATACATATTGTTTAAAGCCTCCTTGATATCTTCCCGGGATTTTGCTCCTGTAAAAACAATTTTGCCATTGACAAAAACCAAAATAACCAGCCTAGGTTTGACCATCCTGTATACCAGACCTGGGAAGAGCTCCGGTTCATAACTAAAAACAAATCAACTCTAATAGGCCGTCAGATGCTGACCGATTTAGGTGCCCCATTTTCGCATACAAGCCTCAAAGAGGATTGAAAAGTACATTGATGTTGAGTAAAATAAAAAAAAATTATGAGGGGCTCTTGGGGATAACACATGGAAAATTCGATTTTCCTTTTCAGAAAAAATTTCTGACCCCAAAATGCACTTATACATTCAGGTCATTCAAGAAAATATAGTTTTCGGACTAGTGACGATGTACCTACGTTTTCATACATTCGATGGTCTTGTGTGGAAAAATCTGGTAAAATATCGATTTTTTCCTTAGAAGATTACGCCCTTATTTCAACCCTTTAGCCACTTGCAACATTAAAGCCTTTGGTTTTCCGAAGCCTAGTCTACCAGTGGGTTTTGACAGGTTATGATATGGCAAAATTATGGCAACCCTGTAGGCCTGGTGATTTAACAAGGTCAATGAAATAGATAGTTACATAGATTGATCATCCATATTTTTCAAAATATGCCTTGAAGTAAAAATGTAAGCAATTATTTTCTTATAAAAATCCAAAGGCTGCAAATTGGTTTTAAAACACATATTTGCCGATTCAAATTAATAAATATTTGCCAGGCAATATGGCCGCTCGCAAACGGCCAGCTTTGAGCAATCTATATAACTATATATGTATCATTGACCCTGTTAATGACAACATGCCAACAGGGTTGCCATATATAAACTGTCAGTCCCCACTGGTAGTCATTTGGACAGGTCGTTGGAATGCCTAATTAATTAATCATATAGTGAAAACGGCTTGCGTGGAAATATGGGTAACAAATAACCTTTCATTTTTGTTGGGGAAAATCCAATTTTCCATGTGTTATCCCCAGGAGCCACTCGTCAATTTTTCATTCTACTTAAAATCCATGTACTTTTCAACCCTCTTCGAGGCTTGTATGCGAGAATAGGGCACCTAAACCTGTCACTATCTGACGGTCTATAACAATTATGCAATAAATATAACAAAAAGTAATAAAATGAAAAAATATTTTGAATTAATCATAAATTCATTAAGCGACCAATAGTGAACCATAAATTGTTATGTAAGAATGTTTACAGAATATTTAATAAGATTCTAGACTAATATCATACAATGATTTCACCAAAATCAGTTAATCATATTGTTCACAATACAATGAGAATTTCAATTATGTTTACCTGCTGAATTGACCATGCATCATATTCAAATTTTCTAATTTAATAGGGAATCTTAAATCACAGGTAGCCACCAAATTTTGTATCTTGAAATTACAAAATTTAATCTGAAAAATAACAATAAATAAGCAATTATTAAAGCCATTTACCATGACGAGTTATTTTAATTATATGTTTTCAAGACCAAATTCAGCTAAAATGGAAACAATAATTTTTATGAAGTATCAAATAGATTAAAATGATATCGATATTTGCAAATAACAAATAGTAGTAAGATTTTTGAACATATATTTATTTAAAGTCAGGTTCAAGACCATAACTAATTAAAGCCATATTCAGTGATTTATCTGTTTTAACCATGTGTTCCAAAAACAGAAAATATCTACTGGAGAATGTTAAGCTGAAGGCAGATTTAATGATGGTAAGAATGATATAGTTGTCAGATTTATCCGTGGAATTTCAAAGATAGTTAAATACCAGAAAAGTAATAGGAGTGACATTGATGTATCAAAAAACTGTGCTGTAAACTGTTATTATTATAAAGGGGGGAGGTTAGAACAAACATACATGATATATCCTGATATGTCAGGCGCGTCTTCTCTATATAAGGTAATTTCATTTTGTTAATGATTCACATAATTTATTACAAAATTGTTTAAATATTTAATAATAAACTATCTTTACAAAAATGCAATTACATTTTCATTCAAAAACTCCCCAGTTATTAGCAATGTAGCCAATATTACTGTCATGCATCCACCTAAAGCCGACCCTTGTCCTCTCGTCCATGTTTTGATACCGCGGGACAGAGACAAACACACTCCTTCGAGAAGTTACTAGAGAAATCGTTGCGCGCCGACTTATTCATAGAGGAGAATTTCCAGAGAGTCTAGACCATTAATTTATCTATGGTCTAGACCGCCGAGAATGTACTCGAGCAGAGCTGGCTTTATATAAATAGCGCGACTTTCTCGGTAGAAGTTAAGTTTCAATATAAGTAAATATAAATTGTAATAAATAAATTAGAATAATTGTGAGTTAAAATAATGCCTAAGTTTTAAATTAATTAATTAGTAGAACAGAAGTAAAAGTTGGAAATGCTTTTGCCAGTTCTCCCACTTTATACACATAAATTGACAGGTTGGCAGCGGATCTCCCCGAAGTGGACGCGATACATTGGCGTACAAAATTATTTTATAGATGTTAATAATAATTTCGAGTAAATAGTTTAATAAATTGTGAATAGCTGTTGAAATTTTGTAAAATTATAATTTGAATATTATAATACATGTTTAATAATTATTTATAATCCATAAATACATGCGATTGTCCGGTTCCGCCGATAACAATTTAAAATTACTTATTCTATGAAACGACACTGGCAGGTAAACATTACTGTGAAATTCTCGGAGCCGCCCGACGTGGTTTGACGTTTACCCCCTCTCTACCTACCAAAAGACTTTTCAACTTTTACTTTCTCTATACGTTATAAATAAACTATAAATAAACTATTTTTAAATTAATCAAACATTAAATTGTGTTAGAAGAGGAACTGTAAATAAATAGTGGACAAAAATGGCTAAAAAAACTGTGTGATTTAAGTGGCTGAATTGCGTCGAGAATTGGAAGATTGTGATTTGTAGACAACAGGGAAGAAAGCTGAGCCATCAGAACGGCTTAAAGAAGAAATGGAAAGAGGTTTGGATCCGGAAACGTTTCTATTTTCGGATCTTCTATAATTTTTTCGTTAGAAAGTCAAATGTTAACTATGAAAACCGATATTTCTTCTGACATTTCTTCATTTGCAAGTTTTTTCTGATGTTTCCTGTATAAAAAATTATATTTCCTCATTAGAAACTAAAGTTTCATAAGACATTAACTCCTTAGAAACTGAAGTTTCTCCTGACATTACTTCCTAGAAAATAAAGTTTCGTCTGATATTTCTTTCTTAAAAGAAAAGATATCTTCTGATATGTTTTCCGTGAAAAACAAAATCTCTTCTTTAGAAACTAAAGTTTCTTCTGATATTTCTTCTTTAAAAGACGAAATTTCTTCCGACTTGGAAAACAAAATGCCTTCACTCAAAAATGAAATTTCTGCTGATGTGGAAAATAATGTTACCCATCACCCTACAGTGTGATGCGGTCGTCATAAGTAAATATGCGAGTAAAGGAAGAAGGGAAAATATTTGAGAAATGTATAGAAATGTCATTCCACGTCAAGAAACATCTGGCCGTTTCAGAAAGGTTCTGGAAGGTTAAAGCGAGCTATATAAGTCGGTGATCCTGACGTTAGAAGTCAGTTTTATGATAGACGTGATACGTTAACGTTATCAGTTGCATAGTTGAATTATTGTAAAAGTTAAGTTAAAGCTGAAATTTGAAGAAACTGTAAATTCTGTCCATGTCAAAGCTCGAACTTTCGACGGGAAGATATCATGGACCAACTACCTTAAACAGTTCGAAACAGCTGCCAGAGCAAATGAATGGTCTGAAAGAGAAAAGGCAATATATCTGACCATGACCTTTCGAGGAGAGGCTATACTTGTGGAAAAGACAGATGGATTTGAACAACTTAAAAAGAGACTTAATATGCGATATGACCACGCCCACTTGGAGCAGGTGTACCGATTACAATTAAAGAATCGCAAACAGAAACGTGAAGAGAGCCTTCAAGAACACGAATGAAATATTGCGAAGATGGTGCGATTTTCCTATCCATGAGCTCCAGAATACATGATAGAATGTTTGGCTGTTCAAGCATTTATTGATAGACTTCGTGACCATGAAATGCAAAGTATACTCCGCTCTTGAATATGAAGCGGCTACGCTGGCTGCTGGTGGATACAGTAGAGTAAGAAATGTAAAAGAGGAAGAACAGGTAAATAAATTTGATCAATTGTTTTACATGATAAAAAAAGTCTTATTGAGAAGCAGCCGAAGACTATTATCTGCTGGAATTGCGGTAAAATGGGAAATGTAAACAGTTCACGAAAACCTCCAAAGAACACTACGAATCGAAAAAACCGTGTCGGTGGCTATACAGGAAGGAACGGTGGTGCCTGATAGATGTGAAACCATAAGAGTAATGCGGTTGGAAGGAATTGTAGAGAAAGGAACGCCTGTCATGGTGGAACCTTCGAAGTGCAATGAAGGTGTTGGTGAAGGAACTCTGGAAAGGGGTTGGCCACATCTGCTAAAGTTACAATGCGGCGAACAATGGTTGTCAACGATGAGTGGGCCCCTGTCTAACTTAGGAAATAACAAGAGAACGATCCCGTTTTAAAGGAGATGCGACAATGGAAAGAGGAAACTCGTCCACCTACTTGGCAAGAAGTATCGAAACTCTCTCCATTAGTTAAGTTATATTGGACTCAGTGGGATTCTTCTATTCTAGAAAAGGCTTATTAAAGCGAGTATAAGAGAATGATGATGGTTCTGAAAACAGAAGATAGTTAGTCAGTCCAAATGCTAGAGTAGTCGAAGTACTTCGTCAGTTACAAGACAGTTCATCAGGAGGACATATCAGTGTTAAGAAACCTCTTTAGAGAGTTTGTGAAAGGTTTTATTGGAGGAACAGTTTGGATGATGTAAAGGACTGGTGTAAGAAATGTACCACTTATGCTATGAGTAACGGACTCCAACGAAAAAGGAAGGCCCCCATGAAGCAGTACAACGTCCGTAGCCCATTTGAAAGGATTGCCTTAGATATTGCTGGACCATTCCTCATGACCGAGGATGGTAATAAATGATGGTGGTTATGGATTATTTCACGAAGTGGGTGGAAGTCTACGCCATTCCAAATCAGGAGGCTGCAACTATTGCAGACGTTTTAATAATAGATTTGGAGTGCCCTTGGAGATCCACAGTAACCAACGCAGAAATTTTGAAAGCCAGCTTTTCCGAGGAATCTGACAGACAAGGCATGAAGAAAACCAGAACTACGGCATTGCACCCACAGTTAGATGGAATCGTAGAAAGGTGTATTTTTAGATATATGTTTCACTTATTGTAATGATTTGCAAATTATCAACTCAGAGGATCCTGTTTTACAAACTTCGGTACATTTCATATAATGTTGAATTGAAGTCTGACAAGAGTTAAAATATGATGTATTGTATTATGATTTCAAAAATGGTACTTCATTATTTCGGGATGGGATATACATAGTTGGCGAAGATGTCAATATTGTTTTGGATAATTTTTATATTTGGTTTTGTTGCAATGGATTATTTTTGTGGCCGTTGTTGTTTACCATTTATTTTGCATTATATTATTTATATTCATTAAGTGACTGGCTGAGTGACAAAAAAATATATATTATTTATACACGAATTAATCTATTCATACCAAATTTTCTACAAATTTTCCTCTTGGTTTAATTAACAACTGATAAAAAAAAGGACTCACAAGAGATACAAAGAATCCAATAGTAATGATAATTATCAATACTTCTCTACTTCTTATATCTTAGAAATCCATGTAAACTATTATCTGCTGATTACTACAATAGGTATATCCAAAAGCACTAGAAGGAATGTAAATTACCCATCAGTGATGAATTTAAATGGTGAAGTTAGTAAAGAGTGTACTACAGTAAATCTTTTTGCTAGACATAGTGAATTATCTTTTGTTAGTAGATGATTTAAAACTTTTTAAACATATATAGTATGTCCCCCTAAGTTGGAATCATATGAAAAACTTTTTTATTATTAATTTTAGGAAAAAAAGTTATTCTTCATAAAAAGTTCTGCATTATCTAAAACCTAGAATACAGTCATCAAATATCAAATTTTTGCAGTAGTATACGAGGTTTGTCAAAAAATATGAGTTTTACTCAAGAGTAAAGTACCTTTATTCTTTATACGATTGATAAAATTTGATATCTGATGGTTGTATTTTAGGTTTTAGACCATGCTCGACTTTTTATAAAGAATTACTTTTTTCCCAATATTAATAATAAAAAAGATTTTCATATGCCGCCAATTTACGTAGACAGTTGGTACCACATTTCTGGTACGATTCTTATCTGCTAATCACTAGATTGCATGCGAAACTCACTCTCACATAAAACTGTCCGTGAGAAAAGCAGTCCTCCCTTAGGCTGTCCCCTTAAAATATGAAAATCCAAAACTCTGGAACAGGTCATTATTTATTTATGCATGGCTACAATTACAATTTACAAGTTCCTACCTTTAAAATCACCCCCGGTTTCCCACGTTAAAATGTGAAAATCCAAAAACTCTTAAATACGTCATTATTTATTTATAATGAGTAGCTACAATCCTAATTTCCAAGTTCCTACATTTAAAAAAGCTATAGGAACGTTCATCCCCATTTTCCCCCTTAAAATGTAAAAATTCAAAAACTTTGTATTACGTCATCATTTATTTCAAATCAATCGGGCTTATAGTTTTGGAGATCTTGTGATGAGTCAGTGAGTGGTATTTTGCTTTTATAAATATAGATTTATAAGATTCTGATTTGCTGCAGACGGAGATGAATAAGCTGTATGACTGGTCAGTAACAAATTTACTAGAATTAAATATAAACAAGGGCTCTGTAATTATATTCACAAGATGTTCAACAAGTTATTCTTATGAATATAAAATAAACGACAAGATTCATTTGTCTCATAAGTTAACATGGAAAACATTACATGTAAGGCCTTTAGAAATCAGGTTTTATTTTAAGAAATAGCATAGATATTTCTATAAATTAATATGAGACTCATTTATTCATATTTCATCAGGTCAATTTTAGAATATGGTTCAATTGTTTGGCCTCCACTTATACATGTATGATTTGCAGAGGAGGTTTTTTAATAATAATATAAGACATTATGCATATAAGTTAGGAATGAACTGGCTGGATACTGACTACTGTCAAATTTTTGAAATAACTAATCTTCACTCTCTTGAAAAATGAAGGAATGATGAGGATTTGCTATGTTAATTAATAGTGTAATTCCCTTTCTGGAACTGCTTGTTTTATGTAACTTTAATGTTGGAACAAATTATGGTTGTCCTAATTCACTGACACACTTGTCTAATCAACCAAAAGATGTATTTTTCAATTAATTTATACTTTTAAATATTACAAAGGTAAAAGAAAGGGATGTTTGTGTACTATTTTTCTTATATATATTATATTTGATTTGTATGAAATTGATTTTCCATTAATATAGAATTTTTTTAATTAAAATAAAGTAAATTCAATAAAGGACTAAACACTCACATTAAATCCTAGTTTCTGAATGATCTTAGCAAACTTCTTGGAAGCCAACAACCCATCATACTCATTCCTAGCACCAGTACAGACAATTTTACCAGACCTAAAAATCAAAGCAGTTGTTCTGGGCTCCCTTAATCTCATAATAACACCGTGGAACCTCGAAGGATTAAATTCCGAATTTCGTGTTCTTGCATTTATCGTTTCTAAGTCTAGGGTGGTTTGTAGATCTACAGTTGAAACACAATTTCTAAAAAGTAGACATATGTTCAATATTTTATTACAAAAGCAAACTAACTGCTGACATACTGTAAAGTAATGTTGGTATGTGGTTCTCCAACAGCTGATCCAGGTAGAGCTACTGTCAGTTGTGATAGGTTTGGCTTTGTAACAGATACCTAAAGAAAAAGGTTCAAATTTGAAATTTCTTATAATTTAGTTCATTTTATTAGTGTGGAAACTAAATGACTTACTGGTACTATTTGAGGAGGATTATTAGATGTCGAAGGAGTATTCCAGTCAGGAATAGGAACAGCTGGGGTAAACTTTGTAGGATTATTTAGCATAGCCTTTAAATGCACATCACTTTGTGGTTTAACTTCCATTTTGATGATTTCAAACTTTAACTGACTTAAACTACAAAAAATAACTATTAATAATTATCTTAAGGTGAGTTAAGCAAATTAATTTGCATTATCTATTGGTTTTTAAAAAATATAATATAGAACACATGGCGGTATTACTGTCACTGTCATAATTGACATGTTATGACAGTTGACAGTGTCATTTGCACCTAGTCATTTTTTAGCGACACCCTCTTGGAAACATTCCTTCGTTTTAAAAATAACTGTAGTCGAGCTCCGCCAAAATACGGCTTTTCAAGGACAAAATATACAAAATTCGTGAACTTTGATTCACAATTTTAGATTTTTATGGTTTATTATTATTATTTGTTATAAAGCCAGTCTGTTGTTTTGTTTACTTGATTTTACATTAAAAATGAAAAATGTCTCAACGTAGTAGAGTGATTAATTTATATAAGACAGTAAGTAGGTAGATTTTATAAAATTATATATTTTTGTGTGTAAATATTAATCGATGGTGTATTTTAAGTTGCCTATGTACAATGTTTTGTTTTCTATTTATGGAATGCATTTTAAAATATGTAAGTTCTTAATGAATACAGATTGTGTATTATATTTTTGATCCCTTTAATTTTACTACTGATATTGTTATTAAAGGAAAGTATTAAATAAAATATTTATTTAATATTGATTATTATCAACAACTTCTGCTTATAATAAACATATAACAAGTGCGATGGTGGTGTAATGGTCAGCATAGTTGCCTTCCAAGCAGTTGATCCGGGTTCGATTCCCGGCCATCACAACTTTTTTGTTTTTTTTTAATGTTTTATTAAAATATTAGTTAAAATATAAAACAAATAATATTTTATTACATTACAAGTGTGGAAAGTGACATTTTTTACACGAGTGGGAAATATTGTCGAACGAGGCACAAGCCGAGTGCGACTATCACACGAGTGTGGAAAATCACTTTTCACACAAGTGATGTACAATATTTTTTCTACGACCACAAAATAATTTCATTAAAAAATGTAAAACCAGGATATTATTATAATAATTAAAATGTATTTAAAAAAATAATCAACAATAATCGTATTTATTCAATTTTCATATTTTCTAAAAATAAAAAAAAAATTCTAACCCCGCCAGGATTTGAACGCGGTCGCTCGCCAGGTCTCAAATGGCAAAGTTGATAAAGTTTGACGCTCTAACCATCTAAGCTAATAGCCCATGCGTTAATTTAATGATCTAATCGGTTATGTGTTTAACCAGAATAAAGAGCAAACATATCTTAGTTATTTTAAAATTATTTTAATAATAATTGTTAAAGATAAATATCTAGGATCTAATTTACAACAATTTCAATAATTTTACAATCATATCGATTTTAGTATTAATATGGACATTACATAGATCAAAATAGAAATAATGCGTTTGACATTTTGTGGTAGCTGATGCGCAAAGTAGCATATTCGCACACGGGTGGAAAGTAAATTCTTATTCATACGCGTGTCCTTTCCATAGGACTATACAGTGTGATATGTGTCACTTTCCTAAGTAGTCGTAAGAAAATATTATATTATGTTCCGTGTTATTTCTATAATACTGATATAGAAAAGTTTACTTCCATTTTGAAATACCTTTTATTTATTAAATCACTTTTTAATTATTTTTTTAAGACTTAAAAAATATTGGTCCTTCTCTCGAAATCATTCATCCATTTAACTGCAGTTTTGTGCAAATCAAAGAAATATTTACCTACATTCATTGTTTCGTAAATCGGTACGTACCTCTAGAAGAAAATGTTGAAACCTGCCGGTTTTTATATTGAAACACGCTGATAATATTTTTATAAACGTTACTTCTTCCTCCATGCGTGAGCGTGATTTCGTCATCGATGATTTTTAAATGAGTGGGCCATGCGATACCGCTTTTGAAAGGTCTTTTAATTCCCTATCCATTATAACAATGATGTTAAGTAATTTAGTTTTGTGTACTGTCAACATTTTTTAGTATTATAATTAATATAGGTATTGTTATTTATAAAATTACAGTCACATTTACAGCAAAAGTTCAAATTAACGACCTTCAACTTATAGTATGTGTAATTTAGCAAAATTGTTTGCCTAAAATAGTTACCTTGTGTTTATATCTTTTTATACAGGTTGAATACTAACCCAGACAGCACACCAAATCCTTTGGATATCTACTGGACATCCCAAAATCCACTGAATGTCCAGTCCATGGTGAATATCTATTTTATATCCATGAGATGTAATTTATAGACATGCAAATGTCCATAAATAATAGTAATTATATAGCAAATTATTAAAAAATTACGCCATTGTGACTAATGGTACTGTTCAGATATTTAAAATTATTTTTTTTAAGGTGTATTCAATATCCCATGGACATCCACTAAATATATCAAAGTCTAGTCGCGAACACAAACCATGGTGGATATCCACTAGATGTAATTTTTGATTTTTACCACTAAGAAGAAAGTCATTCTTGGACTGGTTTCGTCCTTATTAGGACTAGAATTATTTCCATTTTTAAGAATAGCCCGTCTGGCTTTTATTCCACTTAGTCTCTGAACTAGGTACTACAGCGACCTTTGATTTTGCTTGCTAAGTATAGATGGCGATACCACTTTCGCTAGTTGAATATCTACTCATGCTCAACCCGCCGTAATTGAGTTCGACCGAAATTGGTATTGCAAACAGACTCCATTAGTGACTGGAGTCGAGAATTTCTATTTATTGCAGAAGAGTTCTAATAAGGACGAAACCGGTCCAAGAATATCACATTTGAGTTTGGAATTATTTCCTTTTTTATCTATAGGATATATCCATTGGTTACTTATGAACTACTAAAGATACCCCTAAAATATTTTGCTGAGTATCCATAGAATATCTTCTATATCCTGGATATAGACCGACATTTGGATATCCATATTAGATCCACTGGATATCTATAAAATATCTTGTGGGTATATTGGATATCCACAAAATATATTCTGTGGATCTCTGGGATTTCTTGTATTGTCTGGGAGATACCCATTAGATATTTTGCTGGATATTCATAGGATATCTTTTATATTCTGGATATAGACGGACATTTGGATATCTATATTAGATCCACGGAATATTTCTGATATCCTGTGGATGGATATCCACAAAAGATATTCTGTGGATATCTCTGGGATTTGGTGTGTTGTCTGGGTAAGTTGATACTGTGTATAGAAATCGTTAAAATAAACATATATTTTTCAATTAACTTTTTTTAAAACACTAAAAAATAAATCCGAGCCTAGAATTATGTATCAATAATTAAGTTAACTGAGAAGTCTGTGAATGTTTTTTTATCTGTTTTACCTTTTTTTAGGGCTTTATTATGTATGAATCACGCACTAGCTGTTATTGTAATTTAGTCGTCTATGTGATTTTATTAGCTTGTCCTAGAACTTTTATTAATCTAACTCAATGGGCTATAGGGATACAGGTAATTTACAGGAACATCATGGAGGACATGTATGATGATCGATACGAAAATACATGAAATGTGAATGCATTGAAGTTTGTTTGTGTTGAGGTGAATGGACCGGATTGAATTCATTTTGGATTAAATTATTGTAATTTTTTTATATTTGATTTTTTTTAAAGTTATTTATTTTAAAGACTATATAGACTAGCTAACACTATAATCAATCTAATTAATTTGTTTACATATTTCAAGTAGATACTTTTTTATACATTTTAGATAAACGGTTTTCATATTTCAGTTCATTTCTGTAACTTTCTAGACCTTATCGCTTTCACTAGATTATAATTAAAATTTTCTCTTTATGTATTTCTTTTATTATATTTTTCTTAATGTTAAAAAAAACATGATTATGATGACGATAAAAAGAAAAGTTTAATTTTGAACTAGTGAGAAAAATAATGTCTGTCTGAAAATAAAAATAAAGGAATTTAAACCTATATAAAAAGATAATCAAAACAAACAGAGGAATTGCAATTATTCAGAGTCAGAGATTTGTGAAAATGTACTTAGGGCTGAATGGAGTTTCGTTAAAAACATTTAAATCTGGTATTATTCAGTGGCGGATGTAGGATTCGTTCTAGGGGGAGGGGGGCGGGGAGCGCTGCAAAGATTTGTTGGCGAGATAAATATATACCTTATTTACCCAATTTTTTTCTTATATTTATTCAGTAAAATTATTTTTGGATAAATTATTTTTGGACAAATGATTTTTGGACAAATTATTTTTGTATAAATTATTTTTGGACTAATTATTTTTGGACTAATTATTTTTGGACTAATTATTTTTTGACAAATTATTTTTGGACAAATAATTTTTGGACAAATAATTTTTGGACAAATAATTTTTGGACAAATAATTTTTGGACAAATAATTTTTGGACAAATAATTTTTGGACAAATAATTTTTGGACAAATAATTTTTGGATAAATTATTTTAGGACAAATTATTTTAAGACAAATAATGTTTGGATCATTTACTTAAAAATATTAATTACGATTTTTGTTATTTAAAAGACAAATGTTGATCTAAAATGACAAAATCAAATCATCTTTGTGTCAAAATAAACTACTTTACGTAACCAGTTGCATAATGTTGAACATTATGAAACTGGTTTCAAAAAAGTCATTATATCACTAGTTGCGAAAAGAAAAGAAATAAAATAAAAATAGAACTTTTTTGGTTTTAAAATCAATAATATACATTATTATTGAAAGTTTATATTAAAGAAGTACAGGTTGACTTATAAAAATAAAATTTGGTTTAACTTACAACCTAGTAGTAATGTTGTTTTTGTTCTGATTTTCCATTCTAAATCAGCACAAAATAATTAAAATACAATACATGACAAAATACTTTTTTGAAAACGAAATAACTTTAATAAGCCATAGGTCTGTTCCCAACAACGATCAGAAATGAATCACTGACACCAGGATTCTGCGCTGTAGATAATTTGGCAGTCCCAATAATTTACTGCGTAGAATCCTAATGTCAGTGACTGGTTCCTGATCGTTGTTGGAAACCTTATATAAACCACTCGTTGAAAATAAATAATTAATATATTCTGTCAATAAAATTATGCATATGGAACTAACAATACAAGAAAGTAGTAATATTGGTTGCCTAGCTGTCAGTTATTTCTTACCAAAAAACAATGTTATAAATAATAATCTAGTCAAAATTTGAAAAATGTAACACGTTACGAAATGCCTTATTTTACGTAACTCGTTCATATTGTGGATCTGCTCGTCCTGCAAATATTCACTTGTAACTGGTTTCATAAATAGCTAATAAATCATAACTCAAAATATTTGAGATTATTTATAAAATAAAATTATTTTATCTTAACTTGAAAGATTTTTAAATCTAGTTTTTTGTGATTGATAAAGTAGATTATTATGCTACTCTAGTGGACTGTCCGTATCGTATTAGGACAAAACTCGTCCATGTGGGATATGGATGAACTGAATTTTCTATTAGTTCTGCCTAAAATTCTATAGTATGGTGCAATTGTAAGGAATAAAGCACGAACAATCAAGTGTCTGTATCTCCTGGAAAATGCAATCAAGATCAAATATTTCCAGCGAAATAAAGCTGTACAGGACTCCTAGAGGAGGATGTGAAATTTCCATAATTAATAAGCAAACAACGTGTCTAGATATGGATAATTCATGGACCGTTTCAAAGGAAAATTCCCACACGAGGAGACAAGCGGCATTGAAAATGGGAACATGCAAAAGGAAACTTCCACGCCGTGCCATAATTCAACGCAACGCGCGCGTACAGTCCTCCTCCCCCTTCCCCGTATACTTCCGTAACGGTTTATGTTGTCAGATATGTGTGGGAGAAATGGACAAAATTGGTCACAGCAGCGTCTACGTACATATAAATTAATCAAGACTTTTATAGCTTGATGCTTTTTATGGATTGATGTTATGTTAAGGGTTTGTAAAGTCCGTCCATAATTATTTATTTATTTATTGTACAGTATCCAACAGAGTAAGCCCCAATAAGATGAAAAACTATATAATTTTGGAAAATAACATTTGAATATGTTTCAGAAATGTTATACAATTAGACATAAATTGAATACACACTAAAAAACTCAAAACAAGAGAAAATTTTTCAAATAAAAATATTACAAAAACAAGAAATATCAAAAATTCACATATCGTATTAAGGAAATAAGTTCTTATGACGGTTATACTACAATTAAAAATGTCAATAAGTAAACAATTTTAAAAGCATTCTAAATTGGCTAGTTTCTAAATCCGGCTAGTTCTTTCCTTTTTAAGCCAACCTAGAATGCAGCTACAACAAAATAAAATATAAAAGCATTCTACCATTAAAATATTTTTTTTACTTATATTTTTATTTCATACTTTTTAGTTAGAAAGAAAATATAAAATGATTCTAACTAAAAAAATTACTAAATGGGTAATATATGAACAAGACGACACTTCCTGGAGACACTTCTGAATCTGACTCGGGGCAAAGGTTTGCTGCCTGTCGCACTCGAGGTCACTGTCCTCGAGCATCGGTTCATTTTGAGGGTGATTAGGATGGAAATTTCTTTCGATCTAGGCAGCGTTGCCAGATTTTGGAACAGTATGGGTAAAAAAAAACCGTAGATCTGAACAGTAGATTTTAATACAGGGGGAAATAATTATAATTTGCAGTGTAATAAATAAAAAAACAAGTAGGTAAGAAACGAAAAATAAACTTTTTTCTACCCAAATTAGAAAGTAAACAAAGAAAAAAACAAATAAAAACATTTTTATTATATACTTAACGTACGGGAAAAAACAAATGAAAAAATATAAGTACCTACCTACTTCTTTCTGCTTGAACATGAAGATGTTGCAGTTGCAGTAAGCCCTTCCTCTACTACACACCGTGGATGTTTAGCAACCATATGTCGTCTGAGACCACTCGTATTACAATTTTTCATTTTTATTTTAGTCGATGTTCCCATTCTTTTGCAAATTTTGCAGTCACCACTTTTATTCTTTAATTGTTTATCATCTAAGCTATAAATTTTAAAGTGATCAGTGATTTTTTGCTTCTTGATTACTTTTTTATCGGTTGAAGATTTCCTTTTCCGATTTCCTTGGTTTATTTTGGAAGAAGCTCCAGATTGTTTGTCTACTTTAGTGTCTTTATCACTTTCACTACTCGAACTAGACGTTGATTGTTGTCCAGAAATATTGTATTCACTTCCCTACTTTCGGTACAATTGTACATAATCTGGTCACCCGAACGCTTGTTAAATTGTCCTGTATTCCTCGTAATCATTTTCAATAATTTATAAATACAAAAACCGCCACGAAAATTTATCAAAAATGCATCTAGCACGTGCCCGTTAGGCCATTAAACTCAAACTGTCTATACCTAATACCTAATAAATATTTATGATTTGTTTTGGAGACATAGATATCCATCCCCCCACCCGCACTCCCGCCCACCACACGCAAACTGCAAAAACAAAACAGCTTAGTGTGATATTTGCGTAGTACCTCACGCCTCACGGGAATCAATAATCAAGAAGTATCAAGAGTCTTGATATCAAGACAAGAAATTGATTGTCAAGAAGTTGGCAAGACAAGATCACACTATTTCTTGTCTTGAAAAAATCAAGACTCTTGATATCAAGACAAGTTCCATTTCTTGTCTTGTTTCCATCACTAGTCGCAGTTTTGATTTTCTCAAAATTAATAAATTCATTATTTTGTAAATATTGATATAAAAAGTAAAATTATATAACATATTTTCAAAAAGTAAACAATAGTTACGAAATCAAAAAAGGGACAAAACGTTATCCAATATTATCGTACCTTTCTCAAAAATATCTGAATGTTCTCATATTTATATAACTCATTATTTTCAGTTCCTAAATTTATCAAAAGATTGGCCGAAAGGTCAGGACCAGTTCAAGCAGCGATTGCACAACGCTTTCTTGAAAAACAAGGATGAGAAGGACCCGGAAAAGATCGAAAAAATGATCACGCATGGAAAATTCGTCGTTAAGGAAATAGAGGCTTTGTATATGCTGAAAAAGTATAGGACTTTAAAAAGGCGGTATTACAATGAATAGCGATTGTTTTGCTAAATTTAGGAGTAATATGGGTTTTTGTCACATGTATATTATAATGGTTATAATGTAATATAAATAATATAAATGCTATTTTTATATCAGAGTGTTTATTTTTACCTGTATATTTAAATACGCTTACGAATAAAAATTGTGCTATACTAACTTGTTTTTCCAATGTTTGGAATAATTATTGGTATATTTAGTCTCATACAAGGACGAAAAACTACTATTAAAAAAACCAAAAAAGGTTGACAGCTGTGTGCACGTAGTTTAGATTCAAAAAGGAAAAACTTGTATTTCGTGCAAAACTTTTTTATTAATCAATGCAAAGCGCTTTCGGCTTATTTGCCATCATCAGTGCTCATCTACAAAAATTGTGGATGTAAACTTACAATTTAATAAGATTTAAAAAAATAAAAAATTATAAAATCTGAATTAGACTTTTAAGTCAAAAGTTAAAATAGTATATATACAATTGTTTGAACGAATTAAAAATTACAAGAAACAGACAAAGTGACAAAAAACCTGGTATTGGGAATAGTGAGTGTGGGATAAGCCCTTACAAATCAAATCTGATCTCCAAAAGCAAGTTAGCTTGTGTGGAATTAAGGAATCATGCCACCCTCACTATTCACAAAATTGAAAAAAGGTTAACAAATTAGTTAAAATTTAAAGAAATTTACAATTAGAGGGTGACTGTGGAATATATATTGAAATTTGAATCTATAATGCAATATTTGATATGAAGAAAGTAAAACGCAGAAGGCCAAAGTAAAAAAAAAAAAACTGAAGGTTTTTTTTTATATATGTTTTATATACATTATAATTATGAAAAAGTCTACCTACTGTCCACAACGTATCCAACAAGTTCCTGGTCATCCTCACTCCCAAAATTATGTATTTCGGGATGTTTACAACTTGCTAAATCATAATTTTATTAATATTAATATTTTCAAATTTAAATTTATCTCTTCATTTTGGTTCAAGTTGTTTAACCGTTTCCACATGACAGTGGTGACAAGCGACACTTGAAGACTTTGACTTGTCAAATGTCAACAGAAGGAGGTGCGTTCACCTCAGTGTGGAACATGTTTCTCCGAGTGTGATTCGAGTGATTGGAGGTTAACGAAGATCAAAATTTGTTATTGAATTTAAAGATTTAATTTATTGTTATTTAAATTTAATTAAATGTTTAATATGAAAGATATTATTATTTTGATGTCAAGACAAAACAAAAATGTCACTCGCGTGATTCAGATGTGTCAGCCCGGGCTCTGCAGAACATTCTTTCAGAGAACCCAAGATGGCACAACTGAACCCGCGGTCCCTAAAGGTGAATCTGATGTTTAGTCCTAAAAATTAGTAAAACTTTTGACTTAAAAGTCTAATTCAGATTTTATAATTTTTTATTTTTTTAAATCTTTTTAAATTGTAAGTTTACATCCACAATTTTTGTAGATGAGCACTGATGATGGCAAATAAGCCGAAAGCGCTTTGCATTGATTAATAAAAAAGTTTTGCACGAAATACAAGTTTTTCCTTTTTGAAAAACTACTAGACTAATTCATTTATTCATAATAATTAAGCCCTTTTTTATTGCAATCATTCAAGAGCTGCCGCTTTACACCGCTGTCACACGTCAACATTGTATAGATTTATGCAGGGGTAGCCTATCTGTACATATATTATCTAAGGTAAGTATAGGGAAATATATCATTAAATTTCCCTACTTACATACTTTAAGTACAAAGTCTTTCGTTTCTTATTACCCAGTATGATTGTGTACACACCTCATGCTCTCTTGAATTAAATATAAAAAATTATTTGCTAACATTTTCTAGCGATCGATTTTGCTATTTCTGGTGCCTAGTGATCGAATATTTACATTTTTCAACGAAAGTCGGAATATAATTTAATCGCGTTTTTTTTTAGAATCTAAGATAATATTGCGAGCATTTTTTTTGACAATATTTTTTGAACTAGGTGTAAAATCGGAATCAAAAGTCGAAAATTGGTTTTATTGCTCTCAAAATGTTTGTATGGCTTTCGAATAAGAGTTTAGCCTTCTTGCAAGCATTTTTTATTCAGTAGTTCTACCTCATTCAGCCTTTTATTCATCTCAAATTTTCAAGAAAAATGTCAAAAATATATTTTTGTTCTCAATATTCACTGCTCTCCTGCTAATACCATTGGCCACAGCCAGACAAGAATGAATTTCAATAAAAAAGAGTTCACTTATGTTGCGCTGACTGTACCAAACGTCAAAAAAAATTATGGGGTTGTTCTCAAGTTATGAATCAGGGATTAAGGACAAATTTGATAAAACACCCTGTATTTCGGTTATGAACGGCCGAAGACTCTTAAACAGGGATTATTTAGAATCACCTCTGTGGCCTACATCGACAGTTGGTTAACCCAAGTGGAAAATAATAGTAATCCTAGGAACGTTATTAAAAAAATGAGAATTTAATAATCGAGTTATAGAAAACTCGAACCGGTCATTAAGCCTTAAAAGCTTACGCTTCTATTTTCATCCAGTTCGGCAAACGGCGCTTAAAATCCAATTTTCCGTCCAATAAACTGGCGCTCAAACATCCATATTCTCTTTCAAAGCTCTATTGTTTTCGCCAATATGATTCCAAACAAGCAGGATATAATTAAAAATCAATCGCGTGACGTCAATAGCCCCAACCCACAGGTGAAAACTATATTCAAACGAGTGTACGGAGCCCGACAAACAAACGAAACGACTTGAGTGTTATCCAAACCAGGGCTCAAGTGTCTCAGGTTAATTCCGGAAATTTAAATTTTGATTGTTGAAAAGATCGTACGGATGCAGTGTTTGCGATAGCGTCGGAATTTAGGGTTTTAAATATAAACGACCAAGAATATCTGTATCATGTTAAAAATTACATGAGTAGGTACTAGAGAGATGGGGCAAGCACCAATAGCGTATTAAAATTACGATATACGTAATTTTTGAAACGAATTACTGATACCTTCCTACCTATGGGACCTTTCTTATCCCCACTTATTAACACTTTTCTCGAAAATGCAAAGAAATTGGGATAATTTGTAAAAACAAAACATTCTTTAAAAAGTCTCATAAAATCTGTTACTATGCCCCAGCCATTTTTTGCTAAACCCACCCAATATGGCATTGACAAATCCCTCATCTGACTGCAAAAAGTGGCACGTCTTATTTTTTGCTTGCTATTTGTAGTTGGGTACAGTGGAGGGGAGTAAACAATATCGGTGGTGGAATGTGTCGTGTCACTGTCAAATTATTTTTTCTACACCCACATGGAAATTAGCTATTCTACGCAGACTACAAAACGAAATAGTATGCCATTGTGTTCAACTGAACGAATATATTTTATGTCCATTCTATCTAGTAAGAGCACTGCACGGATATGAAATCTACCAGTCTCAGTGGTTCTGTTATACACACTTAAGCGGTATTGTCACCAGTGGCGTACCCACGGGAGGGGGATACTAGGAATATATCCCCCAGGAAGTCCCAGCACGTCCGCAAACTCAAACACATTATCAAAGTGATAAGTGTTCATAAGAACAAATAAGAACAAGAGACCTCTCAATCGCTTTATAATAACTACTTAATCAACTACATTATACAGGTGTTTATTTATTATGGGTCGTGGAATTTTATTCGATAATTTTTGTTCGAACCTTTTTGTTCGAATGAATTTTGTTCAAAAGTTATTTTGTTCGAAAGTTATTTATTTCGAACACATTTTGTTAGAAAGTAATTTTCTTCGAATTTGTTTTTTAAATCGAAATCATTTTGTCTAATGTCTAATTGTTTCAAAATATGCAATGCGGACTTTTTTTAATGAAAAACATATGATCTAAAACATTTCATGATCTAAAATGATTAAATCTAAATTTAAAATACATTATGACAATAAAAATAGTTTACTAGTATTCTGATTAAAGTAATAAAAAAAGCCTTTAATTTACCTTACGTACACCACAGTTTATTGCTACAGAATCAGTTAGCTCACTTGGACCAGTTGACTGTTCCAAAATAATATCCACTCCAGGGATACAAATTCAGGATGCGCAGAAGACTTCTGTTTGAATATAGGCGGTTGTCATATATTGTATTGGTTGTGATTTGATTCTGTATGCGCCAGGGATACAAATCCGAGTTGCGCAGTGCATAAACTGGAACATTGAGATCAAAAGTGCCGACGCAGAGTGAGCGAACTGATTCTTTAGCTATAAACTGTGTCTATACTGCTTGGAGCCTACGCGAGAAGCTTCGCAATTTTTTTTACATAAAATGAGAAAACAAAACTTAACCAATTTACCTAACCAGCACGGTCTGGAAATATCGCGAGTAACTTCGCAAACATTCTTTATATAAAATAAAAAAAATTTAAAACAAAAATTTAACTAATTTACTTAACCTGTGTGGCCTGGAACCATTAAAACTTTTTTAAACCAACTGGAACAAAAATTAAATTTGCATCCAATATGTTTTATTTCAATAAACATTTAACAGATCAAACGGAGCAATTTTTTAAGTACATTATATCAGGAGCCCTCTTTTCCTACAAATTTGACTTATATAGATTTAAAAAAAATAGACATGTCCTTAGTGTGTATAAATAATTAATAAAAATAAGCGAGCACTTTCGGTTTTACAAAGCCATGTTCGAAATTCACTAAATTTTTTCAAATTAGATATTCGAACAAAATGTGTTCGAACTAAATAACTTTCGAATAAAACGTTTTCGAACTAAATAACTTTCGAACAAAATGTTTTCGAACAAAATTCCTTCAAACAAAAAGATTCGAAAAAAAATCCGCGACCCATTTATTATATGTCCTATGCGTTGACCTTGTAGCTGTTAGCTTCTAACTGATTAATATAAATGCTCAAAGATATAAATGTGGAGAGAAGCCTAATAACACCTTCGAGCAATTACTACTAGAGGGAGCGTGAAACGAGTTTGTAGGCGAATATTGTGTTCGCAACATCTGTAGAGGAAGTGAGGAAGCGAGCACAAGGGGGAAGGTAAATTCCCCTCTTGTTCAGTGGCGTATCATTTCTCTGTAGGAATACACAGTGTCCAAAAATGTTTAATTGTAAAAAAACTAAAAAATTCGTTAATTTTACTATTTTTAAAATGTATACCGTCCTATATGTGTGTCTGATGCAGGAAATAAAACAAAATTTCTGTAAAGGTCTAATTTTTTCAATTAAAGAATAAAACCTTAAAACCAATATATTAGTTTTATTACAAATAAATACAGGAGACTAGTTTCGGCCTTATAGGGACATCTTCAGGCCTGTAATAAAATATTCCTTAATTATTTTAATAGGAACGATATTAGAATAGGTTGGTCACTTACGATTAAAATTAAATAGTATAAATCACAAAAATGGATCCATATTGTAGCATTACAGTATTGTAGAATTAAAGCTGTGCGAAAGGAAAAATAAAAGCGGTGCAAACTAAACTAAAAATAAGAAAAATGGGTACGGAATCTACAAGAGATTAGAATGAGCAATTACGAATGCATTTTGTAAAAACTTCGGTTAACAATTTAATTACATTAAAATAAAACTGCGATTTTACGCTAAGATGTTTATTCATTGATAATGGATATCGGAATGCCATAAATATACAAGAAAATAACCAGAACCCTTTTTTGTACCTAGCTCACCAATCACATACTGGGTGAGTAACAAAACCAATTTACACAGTTCGCAAATAATTTTAATACAATATATTACACATTTAAATTGCTCGGGATAACAAATAAGGGTGATAATGTATCAAAGAAGGCCCAGATATGTGAAAGAGGATGGAGGGAAGACGAATATTGCTGTCTCAGTTGTAGATAGGCTAGAAAAAGGAAAGTGTACAAATCAAAAATTGACATGTGTCAGAAAGTGTCAGAACTCTCGCTGTCAAACTTAGCAACGCTGATTAAATAAGCCAATTTAGCGCGGGGAAGTGGGGAAGACTCCCTCTAGTAGTATTTGCTCGGAGAATAGCACAACTCGTCGTGGAGGGGAAAATAAAAAATGGCCGCTCGAAGTACGTCTTACTGACCGGTCGCCTGTGATTAGGGGTTACGAGTTTTGCTAGAGTAGGAACGTATTATAAATCTAGGCATTACACACTTTATAAAAATCGTTCGGACACAAATAAAAATTTAATTTAATCACACAAATGACACTAGAAAGTTAACTTATAAAATTGACAAATTGCACTCACAGTAATGGCGGATCGATCCCACTTTGCGCTTACACATGTCGTATCCCCAGGTTGCTTTATCAATGAATCAGAATCAAATCTAAATGCACAGTTCATATTTTAGTCACCCAACTACTTTTATTTTTTAAAATTTTATAAGTGACATTCCTGTCAAACTAATTGTCAGTATATTTTTTAATTGTTAAGATTAAATATACATTAAAATGAATTATTCTTGTGTAAAAGCGATAAATAGTAGCATTTCTATTATTATTTCTATTTAAAAGTAAACCATAACTTTTAATAAAACTATATAAAATGAAACTAAAATATTATGTATGGCGATGGAGTAGTGACTAGGTCATTCGGCTTTCACGCAGAGATCCCGGGTTAAATTCTAGGATTGGAAACTAATTAAATTAAATGATTTTTATAAAGTTTATTTTATTATATAAATTAGTAAAATTCATAAATTATTTTTAAATTTTAAACCGAAAAATATATACGTTTGGGGACCTCTGGGTTAAATGCTAATAAATTTGATACGCCTATGTGCTTAAACATCGCCAAACGGCGAGAACACTTGTAATACAACAGAAATAACCGCAATTTTACTTGCATCATGGAAACTTGTTAACTGTTAAGAGTCTCTATGAGCCTTTCACGTAAAATTTACGTTTTAATGATTTCACAAAAGAGGATTTTGACCATCGCTTCCTATTCTTTTGATCAGAGAGTATAATTATAATTATACAAACTTGTTACCGCTGACATTTCCTCTACCGCAAAATGTCCTCGACCATCATTCCAATTTGCAAACGTAATTTGCATATTAATTAGGAAAACTCGAGCTGACAATGCCGACATCTTCATCACACGTCGACAAAAAAATGCGGTTCTGGCTACCCTAATGTCTTTAGCAGTGGTAAAATCTCGCTCGGGAACTCGTCTAAGCGAGCTTTTCCTTAAAGGCTACTATCGCGGGAAATTCCATTTTCGCGTGAGCGTTCCGAAATGGGGAGGCGTTTGCTAGAGGCGAAGAGGAGCCAGACAGTCGCCTCGTCATTACTGGCTCGAAATTCGGGGATTGTACGAATTGCTCCAAATTTATAAAAGTCTGAAATTCAAGCCTTTACTCTATCATACAAGCTTATGAAAAGTAACTTTCTAACAGGCAAATACGGTGTTTCTCAGGGAGCTATCCTGGGTCCCCTGTTGTTCAACTTAGATCTAAATGACATCTTTAAAATAAAGTGAGGTTTGCTGATGTTACAGCTATAATAGATCAAGATAAAAACTGGCAAGTTCTAAAAACTTTAGTAGAAATAGAATTCGCAAATATAAACAAATGGTTTGACCAAAAAGAACTTACAATCAATATATACAAAACTAACTTTATTAATACAGTTAGTTGGTTCTAAAAAAGAGGTTAACTGAAAATTTTACCGGGAGTTTTAAAAATTGGTAATTTTATAGATTTTGATGTGTTCTTTCCGAATTTCAACTTTGTCACCTCGTATCTTTGCTACTTGCGTCGCCATAATGGAAAAATGGTACCTAAAAGTAGTTTTTTGACAATAATCTCTTTACGACTCATTTCACGATAAAAACATTTATATACAAAACGAAACCACCTTTTTTTCGTAAAATCAAAAGTTTTAGTTTAGGAGCGCCGCAAAGTGTAGATTAACACGTGTTTTGGCCAAAACACTCATTTCCACATCACATTAAAGTAGAGTAAAGGAGCGGACACATATTTAACACGTACCGTATTAACACGTATTAACACGTCACGTCATAATGCGACACATCATATATGCCGGACACATATGTATGTTGTGAAACGTGTGTTGAACGCTGGAATTTGTTTTTGAAAATGTGAAGAGAGAAGTTGTTTAGTATCACTGCCCAACTTCTGTAAAACTTAGTTATTAAAGTTACTAGGTTATAAAAAATTACTGCATTTTTGAAATCAGCGTTTAAATTTACCTCTAGCAACTATTTTTTTTAATCTTTTTTTATATTATGGTGACAGTAATAATGCTATCTCTATTTCTAGTAACTTCTAAAAACATTTAGGTATCATAAAGCAAAATATAGCAAATAAAGTTACTAACGACAATGTTATGTCTTTTTTAAATATGCTATCAGTAGCAGCTGGTAACTCAAGTTGCTAGGTTTTACGCAACGTATTTTCTAATGATAATGATATAGGCTGGCGGGCGTTTTTTAAAGTTGCTATGTTTTAAATAATTAATGTTTAGCTTTATGTGTAAATTAAAAGGTGTAGCAACGTTGATACTATGTTTTAGTTAATTTATTTTTGCATTTTTAATGTAGAATATGGTGAACTTATCTCAATATACTACTTTTTACTAAATTATGTTATAACGAATATGCATACTCCCGAATAAATTATTTGTTGTTACTGGCTTTTACCGGATCAGACATAGTCAACATATCGTTTGTGGTGTCGTGAGTTGTCTGCCTTATTACTCATAATTACGGTGTGTTACTCAGTAAGAAAGCAAACTAATAATGTCCCGAAGAGCAAATTTAATACTTTCATTGTGTCAGGGGTAAGTAACTTTATTAAAGTAATACATATTATTTAGGTTAAGAAGTTTGTCAAGCTTTTGTTAACTTAAAAGAAAAATCACTTGCGAGTAGGTTTATTGAGTGGGTACATACAGGGTGTAAATAAATAAGTGCGAAAATTTGAATGAATGAGGAATTCGAAAATAATTTTTATTTTCAGGTAAAGAAATGGCGTACCATATTTTTATTTTAAAATACTTAGCTGCAATCCTTCACGAACGCCGCTGGTTGAAATAAAAAAAAATTGTTTACTTCAGAAAATGCCTGTTAATGCTTAGAAGCTATACCAAGTTTCATTTAAATATCTATATTGGTTTTGGAAAATATTCAAACATGTTTTAACTTTAAACCTTAACTCCCGGTATCTTACAAGTTATCACGTTGATGACATATACCCATATAAAGCTTTTTTCTTAAAATGGGTCCAAGAATCACCACCCGAAAATTTTTGCACAAAGTAAAATAACATTACAAAAGACCGTCTAGGAAATAAACGTGAAAAATAAAATTCCCAAAACTCTTCTTTAAAATTTAAGAGTGTACTCTTTTTAGGCAAAATTCTAATACAAAAGTTTCCGAAAATCCAATAGCCAATACGTCAAAAGCAACTTCTGGTGATTGTGAAGACTTTGAACACTCGACTGAATATCCTACTCAGGACAAAAATATTGACATTATGGAGGAATTTTCAGATTTTGATGATAACATAAGAACTAAATTTTGGACCATGACATTTGGCGAAAGAAGACTCTTTCTGGATTCGCACGGTGTTAAAACCAGGGTACAAGAGGCATTATCATTAAACAGAAATTATTCTATTCGATATTTTTTACCAATAAAGAATCACTCAGAATCTAGTAATAATATAATTGAAGACGTGCAGGTATGCAAAACAATGTTTTTGCACACACTTGGTCTTAAAACAGACAGAATGATTACCGCTCATTTAAGAGAATAAAGAAATTCAGAAAATGGAGTAGCTAAAACCAAAGATGACAGAGGTCTTGTTGTCAGAGCTATTTTAAACAGTAAAAAATTAGATCACCAAACTGAAATAATTAATCATATCAATTCTTTTAATCCAGTTGTTTCACACTATAACCTAAAGCGTTCTAAAAATCGTCGTTACTTACCACCAGAACTAACAATATCTTTTATGTGGAAAGATTTTTCTATAGGACAAAAAGTTGGGTACGACCTTCATAGAAATATATTTAAGCAACAGAATATTGGATTCTCTCGACCTTCGCAAGATGAGTGTGACACCTGCAAGATTTACAAAACTCAGTAGTAAACTCAATTCAATTTGTACATGTAAAAAATGTATCTACTGTAATGATCATAAAATGTTTTACATAGAAGCGAGGGAGGAGTATCAAGCTGATAAAGCTAAATAACTTACTTCAAGTGAAAAAGTTTTTAGCGTTGATATGCAGAAAGTTTTACTTCTGCCAAAAATGTCTACTAAAAACTCTTTTTTTGTCTCTAGGTAAATGTTTTGAAATTTAGTGCTCCCAAATATTTAATTATATTAATTTTTAGACTTGTTGTCTTCAATGAAACCTTCGCTTCCCTCCAGGATGACGGTAACATCTGTGTTATGCGGCATGAGGCTATCAGAGGAAAATGCGCTGCTGGCGTGGCATCAGCATATTATAATGTTATTAAGAGTTTAAGCTCCGAAGTGACGAAAGTTGGGTCGTGGGCAGATAATTGTTCAGCACAGAACAAAAACTGGAATCTATTTTCTTCATTTGCTTGTTTTGTAAATTCAGGATGGGGTCTAGATGAATTTACTTTAAAATATTTTGAGCCGGGCCATTCTTATATGGCTGACGATTCTGTTCATGGTCGAATAAGCAGAGAGATGAAAAAATATCCAAATATATACAACTTTGATCAACTTTTAAATATAAAAGAAAAATCATCAAAGAAAACCAAATGTTTAGTTCTTAATATTTCTGATTTTTTCCCTTTTACTGACGGGTGCAAACAACGTAAAAATAACAACATTCTGCTTCTTGACACTATAAAGGTACTTCAGTTTCGTAAAGGCTCCACCAGTTTTTTCTATAAGAAAAAAATATTTGAAGATAATTTTATTGAATCGGCTTTTTTAAAAAATAAATTTGAAGTTAAGCTGCCAGCGGAACCATATTTGGAACCTTTGGGTTTAAATACTGAAAGAAAGAAAATATTTTAAACACGCTTTGTCCTTTATTTGACGATGAAAGGAAAAAATTGTTCTGTATTTACTGTTTCGGAAATTTAAACAGTCTAGTTTTAGTTTTATATGCATAATTATACTACTCGTATATTTATACTCCTTAAGTTTTTTTTTTCGATAATTGTATTTTCACTAAATAAAATTGTAAAAAGACCTAACTAAATATTTATTTTTTATAGGCGATTTACTACACTTTACTTTATTATATTAAAAACAAAACATAATAAAAATAGTATCTAGTAACTTACATAGCTAGTTACTACATAATTATTTATATTATTAAATTAAATAATTTACCTCGAACAAAATATAGTAACTTATATTAATAGTCAAATTACTTATTTTTTCAATTTTTTCTTTATTTATTTAAATTCTTTATTAAAAATTATGTAGAAATGGCTTCATACTTTATCTAAATATCTTCTTCAAAAAAAGGCTACGCAATTTTAGAAAACGCGCTTTACTGAAAAGTTACTAAGCCATAGTTACTAGGTTTTGTCAAAGTACGGCAGATCAGTGTCACCTACAGGTATACATTTCTGCCATTGTAATGGAGCACCTACCCGAAGAGATGGACTGGTTGGACGAAGAGGAGGAAATAGTAGCTGCTACTGCGATATTTTTTGCGCTACAGGACGAATCCAGAGAGTACTGGGTTTATCCAGTAAATCAGCGTAGGCAAGAACTTGGTGCATTTCATGTTTTGTGGCCCGAAATCAGCATTGACGACAAAAGGTAAAATGTATATAAGGATGACCAAGAAGGAATTTGACGTACTTTATGATTTATTAGAAACGAAACTAAAGGAGCAAAACACATATTTCAGAGAAGCAATATCTCCAGAGAAAAGACTTTTATTGACTTTAAGGTAGGTAATAACAAAATACAATACTCTATTCTTTATTAAACAACAACAAATATTATTAAATATAGTAAACAAACATAATATCTACGTGTAATATTATAATTATTAAAAATCTAGAATAACTAGATATAATATTGTTACAAAAGTAGATAACCAGATGTATAAAATTATAGTTGAAAATGGTAGGATCTTCCTTTAGTATTTTCTAAAAAATTGGCTGTGTATTTTATATTCTCAATAAGGTGGGGGAAATAATGCTGTGCGGATGGCGACTGTACAAATGTTTGAGATTCACTCGAGTAGGAATTTGTAGACGAAGATAGTACTGGTGAAGGATGCGCTAGTGTGATAGCTTGGGTTGTGACTAGGGTTGCCAACTTTATTTTTTAAATATTCTGGATGATGGTGATAAAAATTCAGGACATCGGTATAAATTATAGACATTTTTATTATTGCATAAAAACAACAAACTTAAATAAACAATTTGACAGAAAGTGATAAAAAACAGGATTCTTTGGGTAAATAGGAACTAATGATTAAACATCTTATTTAAAAAGAACATAAAAAGATTATAAAAAGTAACAGCTACTTTTTCAGCTCACTTTTTGCAGCTACTATTTATTTTGCCACTGTGACTATAAAATATAAGAAATTGGAGATATTATTTGGAACACTGAAATTAAGTACAATAAGCGTCCTAGAATAGGTTGCTGCAGGACACTGGACAAGGCACCCCAAATGGTGGATGTCCACGAATTGGGAAAAATTTGATATTTGTTTATTGTTTCTTGAGTTTTAAGAAATGAATCATGAATAAAATGCGAGAGATGCCGGTGATAATCCCTATAAAAGAACATGAAAATTTGCGAGAGATGACATGCCGGTGACAATCTCCAGCGAGTCGCCACCTTTTCGGGATTTCGCCAGCGGATCGCCAGCGAATCGCTGGATACGCCGAAATGAATTTCTGGCGAATCGCTGGCGATCGACTATGCATACGGGTAACATTCGTTTTGAACCTCTCACCAGGTTCAGGAGTGTTACCACGCTCGAGCCCCCGACTCCGGGAAGCTTATAAAAACTTATTTCTTGGAAATGCAAAAAAATATGTCAGCCTGTGGATGCAGAAATGCTGGGTAAAAGTGCTCCGTTATATACACGAATTGTAGTGGTACCTGTGATAACTTACAGATAGCGATAAAGCGGAGACTATTTTCGAGCAAATATATGATGAAATCGAGAACGAAGACGATTGTGATGAAACTGATAATCCTATCGCTGATGATGTGGAATAAATTTCGGTCTGTGACGTTTCGATCGGTATTGGTACTAAAGACAATGAACTCGCAACACCTGGTACATAATTTTATAAGTTACTACTACACTATAATAATCACGCCTTCTTTCGAGATTGAAAAAGTTATGCTTTTGAATTAATTTAGTTTTCAGGCTTAGCAGTTTTAATAATCGTCTTTGAATTGCTTTTATTCGATCTCTATGATACTGATAAAAGGGGTTCCACACGACTGAAGCATATTTTAATTTTGATCTTATAAAAGCATAAACTAAAGTTTTTAGGGTAGAAGTTTCTATAAAATCACTACTGCTACGTGCAATTAATCCATAAATGTGATAAGAGGAGGCTACAAAATTATCAATGTGCTTATTAAATGATAGTGCAGTGTCAAACATGACGCCAAGATCAATAAATGTTTTTCTGTCGCTCAAGGGCAACATTTTCTATTGAATAATAAAAAATTGTGATATTTGTTTTTAAACTGTAGGACATTTACATTTATCTGGGTTTAATGACAAGTTACTTTGATAATACCATTCAACAACCCGTGTTAAGTTTGCTGAGAGCTGAGAGGTACTTGCAATCACCTATCCTCTCCACGAGGTAGTTTAGTTTTAGATCATCAGCATACAAAAGGAAATTTATATTTATAACATTTGCAATATCATTAATGAACATAATAAAATGGACGGGTCCCAGATTTGACCCTTGTGGAAAACCGGAAGAAGAACTATATTCAGCAGACCTAAAACCATTAAGCTGGACATATGCTTTCGATCCCATAGATAGGATTGAAACAGTGAAATTAAAGAGGGAGATAATCCAAAGATACAAGTTTGTTGAGCAGAATGCCATGATCAAGTACGTCGGAGGCCTTAGAAAAGTCTATGTAAATAACATCTGTTTGGGCTCTGTTGTCAATAGATTCAGCAATATATTGGGCAACGGTCAGAAGGTTGGGTTGCATATAATAGAGATAGGTCGATAATTTGAAATATCTCGTCTATCTCCTTTCTTAAAAATGGGACAGACCTTTGAAGATTTCCAGATCCCTGGTATTGTAGCCGATTTTAAACAAATACTATTTAGTATGGAGAGAGGACGAGCAAGCACAGCCGAACAATCTTTTAGGACAAAAGCTAGAATATCGTCTAATCCGGTGGTCTTTTTTTGGCTTAAGTGATCTTAGTGCCTCATACACTTCCTTTTCACTGAAGCTTGTAATATTTAAAATGTGATTATTCTTTTTTTCCCAGAATTGGGTTGAAAAGGGGAAGAAATAGTATGGGACTGATTAAAAAGATTTGCAAAACGGTTTAGAATATTAGAAGGCCCTTCCAATATTTGACCTTCAAAATTCAATACGTGTGATATTTTGGAACTACCTCGTTTATTATTTATAAATGCCCAAAATCTGTTGGGGTTATTATGTATTTCTTTCTCAGTTTTGCCTAAAAATTTCTTGTATGCAACATCAACATCATGCTTTATTTTCGCCCGAAGGTGTTTAAAATCCTCAAAGGCCTGTAAATTACTTTCACGCTTGTATTTGCGCCAAATTCTACTTTTAGCCTGTAAATCTTTAATAATGCCACCATTGTACCAAGGTGGATATCTATTTTTGGATTTAAGTATATACTTGGGACAGCAACGATCGAAAACATTATAAGGCTTGCCATAGAAATATGTGGATGCATCTTCTGAATTATCCGAAGCTTCCAAAAAGGTCCAGTCAATAAGAGATATTTGTTCATACATTTGTGGAAAGTTGGCTCTTTTGAAGTTATAACTTTTCTGAAAACAGGATTGCAATTTACTTTTGAAGTTAGATTTTATCTCTAGTATACAAGTAATATCCAAAGCAGGATGATGTCTATCTTCGGTTACAAATGGATCCAGTGATTTATCCACATGACATTCTCTATTAAAAAAAAACAGGTCGAGGAGTCTATTAAGGTTATTAAATACAAAATTATTTTAAGAAAGATCAAAAATTTGTGAAAAAGTATTAAGAGCAGTGATTTCCCTATTAGTTGCACCATAATCCAGATAGTTAGCATAGTCGCTAACATTAAATTCTCCTACAACGAAAACTGCATTATTATGTAATATATGCAACAATGCCAGGGCTTCAAAAAGTTGTTCATTTAATATTCTATATTTGTATTATTTTATAGTTTCGGAAACAATCCACTCAAGTTCTATTTTTAGACCGCATTTTAACCGTTATCCTGATACTCCTGAAGGGCAGGTACGATTTTTGTCGGAATTGGCACGCTCCCGAAATTTGGGGTGTAGTGTCGGTCTCTTCTGGCCCAGATTATTCTATTTTTAGCCACGATCCGCGATTCTTCCAACTGCCGTCGACTTGTGTCCCCGTTTCGGAGCTGGAATATTGACCCCCCGGCTGGATTTGGATTTCGCGATTCGCACGAGAATCGGAAGTATCGGTAAATCAAGCCTTTTTATTCATTTCTGCTTCCATGAGTTTGTTTGTGCAGAATGACTCGGACATATCTAAAGGAGGAACGATTATCAGATATCTCCGATGTGGAAAGAAAACATGGGAATACGAAATAAAAAGGATTTTTATGCTTCCTATCGGGATAGGTTGTTGCTTTGGATATGTTTTTGAGGAAAATGGTGTAATCGTAAACACAAAAGCGATAGAGTTTTTTTAGATGTTTTTCATGAGGTGGTTTCCGTTGATCGTTTTAGGGGCAGACATTTAATACATGAATATTACTTTAATGTACTTTAAATGTTTGTTCGAAAATTTTAATAGTTCACCGTATGTACCTACTGAAAAGACGGGCACATGTAGATAGGTATTAATTATCTACAATAACAGATATCAGCAACCAGTGGCGGCTCGTAGTAATTTAAAATGGGTGTTCCTTTATCCAATAATTTTATCATTTGTAAGTTCGATTTAAAACTTTGTACAAGTGTAGTTATTATTATTATTATTAATATCATACTGTTTTCAAGTACTACAACTATTAATGAATGAATAAATAAATATTTTAGTTATTGTAATATTTGTTTTGTTTTTAATGCGTTAAGAATTATCTATAAACATTATTAGTTAGTCAACTGACTTTTCTTCATATTTTAAGATTATTTTTAAATATATATCAGGTTATGTAGAAAGCTTGACATTGATTTTTGTGTAAAAAATATTATTATATGAAACTTTACCTATAATTTTTCAGTTTTTATTGTAAATTTAATCATTTTCACAATTTGTCACACATGTCAAGTAAAATAATATATTTTATAAATACCTTTTATTGGCAAAAACTAAAATGTGTATTTTATAAGATCAGTCCCAACACAATATTACATACATAATATTACACAGATACAAACTAGAATGAAGCTATACGAGCCCTATCAACTTTATGTTGGAACAAGCAGTTATTTTGCGAATAAAATGCCAATTTAACGAAATTCTTTTATTCTATTTTTTTTTAATTGTAAATATGAAATTAGAAACATTTTTTATGATGTATGGAATTATTTTTATGGTTTAATTATATATTTTTTATTGATTAATATTTAATTACTTGTTTGA